TCTCACTGAGAAATTAGGAAAATAATACCATTCATAATAGTATCAAGAAAAATTAAGTACGTAGGAATTAACCTAACAAGGCAGTGAAATACTTCTACAATGAAAACTAAAGTGCTCTGAAAAAGCAGAGCAAAGAATACATCAGAAAACGGAAAGGCATCTGCTGTTCCCAGATGGGCAGAAATAATATTGTCAAAAAGGCCATACTTTCAAAATTAATATACAGATTTAATGTAATCCCAATCAAAATACTATCAATGACTCTTCTCAGAGAAAACAATGCTAAAATTCATATGTAACCAGTAGAGAACCAGAATAACAAAACCAAGGGCTAAATAAGAGGCATTACAATCCTGGGCTTCAAGTGGTATTACCAAGCTATAGTGATAAAAACAGCAAGGTACGATCCCTGGTACCAAAACAAAAAAACCCAAAAAACCCAAAAAACAGCAAGGTACTAGACTGGCACAAAAATAAACACGTGGATCAACAGAACAGAACAGAGGATGTAGAAACAACCCCAGGCACGTTCAGCTATCTGACCTTTGACAAAGAGGCCAAAACCAGACACTAGAGGAAAGCTAGCTTCTTCAGTAAATGGTGCTAGGAAAACTGGCTATTCACATGCAAAAGATCCAGCCAAGCCAGCCGAGGGTGTGGTGGCTCTTGCCAGTAATCTCAGCAAGGATCACTGTGAGTTTGAGGCCAGCCTGGATTAGTAAATTCAAAACCAGCCTGAACTACATTGTGAGACCCTGTCTCAAAAACAAAACAAAACACAAAAGATTGAGTCAAGACCTATATCTCTCACCACATATTAAACTAAAATCAAAATGTATCAAATACCTAAATGTTAAAACACAAACACTTAACCTACTGGAAGACAAAAGAGGCAAAACTCTAGAAGACATAGGTGTAGGCAAGGACTTTCTGAATAGAACCCCCACTGTACAAGAAATCACAAGAATCAACAAATGGGATCATATCAAATTAAAAAGCTTCTGAACAGCAAAGGAAACAACCAACAGAGACAACTTGCATTAGTGGGGCGAATGTATGGCACACATATAATTTGTTTTTCTTTTAAGACAAATCCATTAATGTATGAGTTGGTTTTTCTAAACTAAACCCTCAGTATTCAAGTTTAAGTGCAGTGTTGGCACTTTGCAATAAATAAGTGGGTCTCGGGTTAGTTTGGGCAGTTGTCTCTAAAAGGTTCGCCATTACTGACCTACACAATGGGAAAACTTTTTGCCAGCTATTCTGTGGATAGAGGACTAATATCTAGAATATATAAAGAACTCAGAAAATTTAGGCTCCTCTCCAATAAAAGACTCAATCAAAAAATGGACATACGAAATTTATACATATTTCTCAGAAGTACAATGGTCACTAAATACATAAAAATGTTCAATATCTCTAGTTATTAAAGAAATGCAGATTAAAAGAGTGGATTTTATATAATTCCAGAAAGAATGGGCATCATCAAGAAATCGAATAACAAATGCTGGTAAGGCTGTGGAAGGAAGAAGGAATCCTGTATTATTTGGTAGGAATGTAAACTAGTATAACCACTATGGAGTATGGAGATTCCTCAAAAAACTAACACTAGAAATTTCATTTGATACAGCTATTCCCCTTCAAGGTATCTTCCCCAAACAGTTAAAGACATCATATTACAGTGATACCTGCATATCCATGCTTACATCAGCATACTTCACAATAGCTAAATCTTGGAAGATGTCTATATGCCCATCAACAGATGAATGGATAAAGAAAATGTGGTATTTATATACAATGGAGTACTCCTCTGCCATAAAGAATAGGGGCTGGGGATTTAGCTCAGTGGTTCTGCCATAAAGAATAAATGAGTCATCTGTAGGAAAATGGATGTACCTTGAGACCATAACGTTAAGTGAAATAAATCAGACACACAAGCTTAAATAGTGCCAAGTTTCTCTTATATGAGAGACACAAAATATAAATAAATAATGGAGCAAAATGAAAGATAATAGGAAACAGAGCAATAGATTTTTTTCCAGAATTAATTTTTTTTTTTTTGGTACCGGGGATCAAACTCGGGACCTTGTGCTTGCGAGGCAGGCGCCGGAACCACTGAGCTAAATCCCCGGCCCTAAGAGCAATAGACTTTTTGCAAAAGGGAAGTCCTAAGGATAGAATCTGACTGGTATAAAACAACGATCTTTTATATTTAGCACCTATTATATGTCAATTTATAACTTTGTGCTAAGTTCAAGAGAAAAATATGTAGCCTCAAACTTCAAAAAAATTTGAATTCCAGTTGGAGGATTTGTGAAACAATTAATCAAGGGTAGAAGACAGAACAAAAATTAAGCGTTTGACTCTGAGTTGTGTACTGTATCACAAGAACAACAATAATGGGGACAAGAATAGTTAGGGAAGACTTCAAAAATGAGATGGATGCCGCTGTCTGCCTTGCAGGCAGACAGGTCCTGAGTTCAATCCCCGGTACCAAAAACAACAAAAAAAGAGAGAGATGGGGTATTAGGCCTCAGCAGAAAGAGAGGACATGAATTGGTACAAAAAGAAAGTGTTAAGTCCTTTTCTTTTTATGCACATGATTGGACAATGTCTTATAGGCTAAGAATGTCTTGAATGCTGTGTATAGTACGGCTTTGAAAACAGTTATTTCCTAGAGATACAAAGACATATGGAAACAAGTCTATTGCCTTCTCTTTATAATCTTCTTGGATCTGTATTCTGTTGTCTGTTGTCATGAGTAAAAAGAGAGGATAGGACCATTCTATATCAGGCAGGAGAAAAACAACTGTATCTAGTAAAGCAAATTCAGAAAAGTGAAATCAAAAGTTATAAGGAGCAGGATTAGACAAGAAGCAGCAAATTCTGGCTGTGTTCCTACAGGGACTATAGAGAAAGAGAAGGTGAGCAAATCTGTTCCATGTACACCTTAGCCAAAGCCCTGTGCCTATTCTGTACTGTGAATGAAGAGACATGAAGAATAGGAGAACCAAACAAAATGGCAAATTCTTGAGACAGAAAAATTGGAGGGCTGGATCTCACTCTGGTAGTGGTTTAGGACTGTAGTTTACAGACTTGAATCTTCCTATAAATCACACAGGGATCTTATTAATATGCAGATTTTGCTTCAGTAGGTCTAAAGTAAGGCCTGAAATTCTGCATTTTTACTAAGCTCTCAGTGATGCTGATAATGCTGATTTGTGCATGCTACACTTTTATTAACTAGGCTCTAAGAGATGCTAGCAGTCAAACAATGTTCTTCCCTTTCTTATTTTAGAATAAAAATATTAAGGTAAATGGAAAAAGATTTAACTCTACAAACACCTGAAACCAGTGGTTTCATACAGTTCTTCTACAAAAAAATCTTTTAGGAAAAATAATTTTGGGATGTTTCAGAAAATAAGTGTGGATGTATATATATTCATTTGAAATGTTGATACCAGATTGTTAATTTTAGATCATTCTTTGATTTACTAGCAGTCTCTCGGCGAAAGCTAACAAAAGGGATTCAATGCTGACTTAATTTCCAGGCAAACAATATAAGTTGAGGCCTAGATTTGCCAAGCCAGTATCTCTGAAGTTTGTTTAAGAGTACAGTCCCTAGACAGTCTGAACTAGATTATGAAATACTAAATTATTATCTCCGCATCCCAAAGGGCTTAGATAATTCTACAATGGTACTAAAGCTTTGCCATCACTACTGATATAGACACCTAGAAGGAAAAAAACAAAACAAAAAAATTTATCCTATCCAGAACAATTGGAAGTCCTTACTTTGGCCATACAACAACAGGAGACCTTAATGATTATTTTACACAGCTATTGTTAAGGATGATATGCGATAGCTATGTTCAAGTGATGTCCAGTCTTTGCCCCTCGGTAAACATCTAATGAATGTTGGTTCCTTTCTCTTATTACTAACACCTATTTTTAAAGTCATATTTTTACTCCTAGAATGTTCCTATTTTTCTTTAAGCTTTCAAGTTTCTGAATATTGTATATTTGATCATTTTTATAGGCAACCAAATTACTTAAATATATTTGATTCTAAAATGATAATATAGATTTGATTGATTGATTGACTTTTGCAGTACTAGGGATCTAACTCAGGACCTTGCACTTGGGAGGCAGGCACGGTGCCACTGAGCTAAATACCTGGCCTGATAATATAGATTTTAAAAGATCAAGGGTCTACAAATTATGGTTCATGGGTCAAATCAGCCCTTTAATCTGTTTATTTACAGCCTCTTTCCTATGAATTTTTTTGTGTTTTTAATGGCTATAAGATAAAACAAAGAACTTATGAAAGTAAGTGGTCTGCAAAGCCTAAAACTGTAGCATCAGGCCATAATGTATAAAAGGATAATGCTAAATAGGAAAATACTAAATATACGTATAAATAATTTCAGTTTCTTACTCCAATAGAAAATTTCTAAAAGCATGTTTCCTTTGTAGCTTCAAATTTAAAATTGAACAGAAGAGACCAGAATCATATAATCAATGATCTAAGCTAACAGTTCAAAAGTAATTTATCTTCTTCAGAGCTCTTGGAATTGGGGATAAGCAGAATTTAATTAAAAAAAAAAAAAAAAGCAGGCTCTTGACAGTAGAGAAAGCATTCAAATTTCTCTACGCCAGGCTAAATAAGAACTAGGCCAGGTGTGGTGGTTCATGCCTGAAATCCCAGCACTTGGGAGGCTGAGGCAGGAGGACTGTCACAAGTTTGAAGCTGAGGTAGGAGGATTGTCATGAGTTTGAGGCCAGCCTAGGCTACATAGTAAATTCAAGGCCAGCCTGAACTACAAAGCGAGACTCTGTTTCAGAAAAAAGAAAGAGAATAAACTAGCCTAAAATGTAGGACATATATTAATTGGGATCTTTGACTTTGCATGATGTTATCTTTGGAATATTATCAGCAGAAAGGGGAATCACTGGGAGTTGCCCTGGTTTATGTTGTTCACTGTTGTTTTCAACTTAACTTTGGATAATTAGTAATGCTTTTCTTCTTACCAGTGCCTTGTCTGCAGGAGTAGAAAGTCTGCTGTAGTAATGAATCCTCTTGTTCATGGCAGAAGCATGGTCACTAACCCTCTGAATGACATCATTCACACTGACGATGTTTGTGGGTTCTATATAGAAAGGCCTAAAGAAGGGAATATATACTTGACAAAAAACATTCAGGCAAAAATTCTGGAAGTCAGCCACTGAAGAAAATAGCTTCTTGTCCTCCATTAGAAATGGGATGCACAAAGGCACAGCATTCACTTCTCACTTTTCGTGGGAAAAGAAAATGTCACAAAAGAAGTATTATCTTATGCACAGAATAAAACTCCTGTCTTGTAATACTTTTATTTAAAATACATTTTTTTTAATCTTACTCCTTCAATTTATAGGAATAAGTTCCTACTTAAATTTCTTTTTTTCTTTTTTTTTTTTTTTAATCTTAAGGAATTTAGCAATAGAGGAGATAATACAAAAAGCTTAAAAAACAATTATTGAAAAGAAATACAGAAAAGAAGAACACAGCACCTATCGGTTTCCAACAATGAAACAGAAACAGCTTTGACTAGTTTCTCTAAAAGCTTCTGGCACTAAGTCAAAAAAATTATAGACAAAAATGTCCCTCTCTTGAAGAGTCTCTCCTCCTTCTTTATAGGCCAAAGTTACTTGTTACGATAAACAAAGTTCTTATTTCTCAGTTCATTTTCTAAGGACTAAGGATCACAACCATTTTCCTTGTAAGACTTAACCAAAATAGTACCAAATGGAACATAAGGATACTAGAGGTATTTTCCTTTTTTCTCCTTTTCTTGGATCTTGGTAGCATACTCTATTATTATCCTATTATTTATGTGTATGCTTCCTAATCAACTACAGGTTCTGGTTTTCAATCATCACCTCCTTCAGTTTCTTCTTGAAACTGCAGAATTTGCTAAGCTTTCAGTAATATACTGCCCAAAATCGAAAGACCAAGCAAAGTTGCAGGGGAGGAAAGTATTCCCCACTCATACTCAGATCCCTGAAGTCACAAACAGCACTGTGCCCCAAAGTGTATATAATTTGCCATTTCACATTATCCACAGACCAAAATAATGAAAAGAGCCTCTAGATTTATCAATGGTTTCACATAACTCTTTTCAGACTTAAGTTGAGAAAGAAGCTTAAAGTATATTAAGGTATAACAATCATTTTTACTGTAATCTTGTGGGAAGAACTTGAAAAACCAAGTGAATGGAAGTTTAATTTTTGCTATTTTTCCAACTAAATATGTTATATTGGAGAAAAATGGTAGTACACATGTTGAGGTTAGTCCCGTCTAGTTAACACAGAGAATTTTTAAATCTTTTATTATTTACTCTTCAGCACAGGATCTAAATATGGTGGGTACAACAATTCAATATGTGAGCACTTAATAAATATATGGATACAGAGATTAACATGACATATACACCAAGCACATTACTGCTCAATGTATTAAGTGATATCAATAAATTGTAAGGGGATAATGAAAACAAATCAGTAAGAGGCTGAATAAGTAATTTCTACTTATACATTTGGTAGCCTAATAAAACTATCGATTCTCCTAAACCACCATGGGGCATTTAATTTACATCTCTACTGTGACACTTAATGGTACTACAAAAGTAATATAAAAATATTGCTATTTGAGAGAGAGTTTAATTATCTTGGGGTCATATTCTATAGGGGCTTCCCTTCTTTGCAAAAAAAAGTACCCCACAAAATTCAAGAATGCCAATATAAGGCAAAGATGGAAGTTAATCATGGGTTACTAAAAAGGCTTAATAAGCATAATATTGATAGAAAGAGATGTATTCTACTTGTAGTTTTTGCTCTGAAATGTCAACGTTATTAATATTAACCACTAAGTTGGTTTGAAGACCTGCTGAAAAACAGTCCAGGAAGTGCTACATTTCTTGGCTCCTGGTGTCTTATAGAAGTGTTAAGTACCCAAGCCAGTTTAGTTGGCTTGGGCACTCTGGGAGCAAAATAACTCTGAAAGTTTTTCTTTTCCAACCGTTTTCATCAAGATGCTGAGGGCCTGTTCAAACAAATATTTTGGAATCTTTTCAAAACAGATTCTCTTTAAAAATATACAACTCAGCATATTTTAACTGAATTATTAGAAGCACATGTTTAAAGCTTCATTTTACAGAACAAAAATATAACAATTCTAAGGTGAACTTTAGTTGGATCTTAAATACTTTAAATATTAATATTATAGAGAGGATAATATTCAGAATAAAAGAATTGAGCTTTTTTCTTTTGAACAGTTTTACATGACTGCTACCATCAATGTTACTTCTCATTCGATAATGTAGTTCAGCTGTGTTACACTGAAAACAAAGGATTTATATTTGTCTCACCTTGTAAATATCTATGGTCTTGCCACAGGAAAAATGGTTTTTATATTAAGCAAAATCAACAAAATATTTTAAAATGTGACTCAAGCCTCATGTATTAATTTAATACTTATAAACAGAGAAACTTTATTTCTACCAACACCTTTTCCAGGTTCCACTCCTTACATTCCTTAAAAATTCTGGCTTTCAAATCTGTTTCCACCCTCATACTGACCAGTTATGCTTCTCATGACTCTTCAGAAGGCTAATACCCAACATAGAAATCTTGACTTAAAACTGTTCCTTTATTCATATCCCTATGAAAGCTGAGGCATTCCAATACCTGACAGGTTGGGTAATTTGTTAAAAAAAAAAAAAAAAGAAAAGGAAATCAGGTATTCAAAAAAAATCTCATGCAGGGGCCGGGGATTTAGCTCAGTGGTTTTGCTACCTGCTGTGCAAGCACAAGGACCAGAGTTCAATTCCTGGTACAAAAAAAAAAAAGGTACCAAAAAAATCTCATGCAAATAAACATTCAAAATAATGAATGGTCTATACTCGCTTCTACCTGCTTAGTAAAGGATTTTACGTCTGCCAGGTAGCTTTTTTTTTTTTGGTACCAAGGATCGATCAGAACTTTGTGCTTCAAGGCAGGTACAGTGCTGCTGAGCTAAATCCCCAGCCCCAGGTAGCTTTTTAATAAAGATGACAGAAAAGAAGTTAATCAAGCCATTGTACCTAGAAATTCCTTGCTGCTACTAGAAAAATATTGGTAATATATGGCCTATTGACATGTTTCTCACTTCCTCTGTTATCTATACAACATCCTCTTTCATAAAAAAACTGTTCTACACTCCAACTTATATCACTATTACCAAATGCTGAGCCTATATGAGGCTCTTCTGTATTCTGGCTAGTAAATTTGTATTGGTTCTCAAATTTATTTTATATATATATATAGCTTAAGTGCCAAGTATTAAGCATTGTACTAAACACTGAACAATGAATATGACACAGAACCTCAAGGATCACATAGTAATCTTCTGGAAATGATGCAAAAAGAAATTTTGATATAGAAAATGAGAAAGGGAGAGACTGAGACCAATAGGACCAAGAAAGTGTGGAGAAGGCTATGTAACACTAGTGTTGGGACCACATATAAGGAGAAGCCAAACCATATCTGGCAGACCTCTGAGGAAGTTAGAGCTGAGCTGAATCACAAAAGATATAAAAGATTTAGTCAATTTGGATAAAAGGAAGAAAGAGTATTTCAAAAAATGGAAAGCTCAGGAGTAGAGTGCATGCTTAGCATGTGGAAGGCTCTGGGTTCACTCTCCAGAGCGTACACATATACAGAGTGTAGACACAGCTAGAAAGAGAAAGATGTATTTCTAAGACCAATAAATAGTAGGAAATGTAATGGTAAAATATGGGCAATACATAGAGGATTACAAAAACTAACAAAGGACTCAATTTTAAAGGAAAGAGCCCTTAGTCTGTTTCCTTTGGTGATTACATGTCAGGTCTCCAATCTTTGAATGTCAGAGTACCCCACAGTTCAAGTCATAAACATTTATCTCTTCTTTATCTATTTTCACTCCCCAGTGGAGTCCTCTAGTCACTAACTATAAATTCATGGATATATTGGTACTAAACTATTATCTCCAACCTGAATGCCTGACTCATATATGAAAACTGTTTCCTGCCATGGCTCCCTTACCCCGTCTCTTGGACTTCTCCATCTACCACACTAGCCTCCTCATCATTCCTGATACACTGTAATCATGCACTTATTTCAGGACCCTTGTTATTAATTTCAGGTAAAAATAAAGGCTATAAAGACTTTTTATGTAGATATTTTCATACCTTGCTTCTTTACTTCTTTCAGTTCATTACTAAATTGCTTCTTCAAGAGGCATTTGAATACTCCAGACACTGTATCTAAAATTTCAGCACCCATTCTCCACCCTTATCATTTCCTAGCCACTGTTTCTGTTTTACATTTTCTCCTTACATCTATACTATCTAATATATGTGGTATGATCAAAATATACAGTGAATGTTTGAGTTACAAAAATGTGTTACAGTAAAAGACACATTGCCATCAACCCTCTCAAAATACTTTGAAAAACTTACTTTGAACACAGCCCATTGTTCTTGCCACTTCTGAAACAGTTCTGAGTGTCCTTATGAGGTATGATCAAACACATAAAGAGTACAGCTGCCAAGTGCCATTGAAATGAAAGACAGGCTCATGAAAACATTACAATGCATTCTCACCTACCTCAATCACCACTTCTGGCACTGGATGACTACTGGCTGTTTCCCAAAGTCAAAATGACAAGAGGTAAAAGTTCTGAACTGATTCAGCCACCAGTCATTCAGCCATGACAGCACAACTAAAGACACTCATGAAAGAGGACTTCCAGAACTGTTTCAGAAAGTGGTAAGAACCATGGAGTACTAAAGGCACATTCAATGTCTGTGTTTCTCAAGGCTGTAGATGAGAGGATTCCCCATAGGGGTGTCCACAGAGTACAACAAGGATCCCCAACTCTCAGGCCATGGACCGATACCAGTCTGTACTCTGTTAGGAACTGGGCCACACAGCAGGAAGTGAGTAGTGGGCAAGGGAGCAAAGCTTCATCTGCATAACTATTGCTCAAATTATTGCTTGAGCTCTGCCTCCTGTCAGATCAGCAAGAGGCATGAGATTGTTATAGGAGCATGAACCTTACTGCAACCTGTGCATGTGAGGGCTTAGGATGCATATTCTTTATGA